CTCTGCCTTTCCGCCTCTCTCCCCTCGCCCCGGCCTGCGAGCCAGCTCAGCCCGGCGGGCGCCGAGCGGGACCATGTCGGGCCAGGAAGAAGAGGAGGAGGAGCAGCAGCGGGCCAAGGAGATCCTGAGGGGGTTCAAACTGTATCCGGCCTGCTGGGATGCGCGCGAGGGAGTGGGGCGGCTGAGGGGAAATACGGTAATGCGGCGGGGGCGGCTTTCGGGCGGAGCGTGAGGAGAGGAAATACGGTAATGGCGAGGGGGCTCCCTGGGCTGGGTGGCGCGCTGGGTTGGCTACTTACGGTACTTTTGGGGGAGATGGGGCAAATCTTGGAGGGGCTCGACAATACGGTACCAGGGAGGTGAGCGAAGGAGGGCGGCCCATTCTTGGGGTGCTCTCCTGGGGGAGATGGGGGAGCGCATGGAGCCGCCTTTGGCCCAAGGGGGCTGTGGAGCTGTAGGAGCAATATCGGCTGGAATCACCCAGCACTCTTTACCAGGTGAATGAATACTCTGGGGGCTGCAAGGGTGCCAGGGTAAATGTTGGTTAGTTTTTTGTGGCTTGGTGGCTCCGGTTCCCACGACATCCTTAATGGCGTCAGGTGAAGGCTAAGCACGCCTTGCCTTAAGCTGAGTTAGCATTTATTGTAATTAGGAGTTTTTTGCTTGTTTTGTGGCTTAGCATATTGTCTGAACCCAGCTGGCGTGGTTACTTTATGATTCCATATATTGTGCAAACCCAGAAATAACGTTGGGACCAGGTTAAAGCATGGATGCAGTTAATGTGCCTGGGGTCTGCCTTCCTTCTTAGGCCACTTAACATTTATTTGGGGGACACCAAAAAGTTCCTTTTTGGACACATAGTTTTAGTCTAGTCCTTACCAGCCGATGGGAAACCAAAGGAATGTCCACATCCATGTGTTTGTTGGTTCTTAGCAAAGTTTGCCAGGCATCTACAGTAAGTGGACTAACTGGGAATGTAGGTAGGGCTTGTCCAAAGTGCCTCCAGTTCACTCCCTCTCCCCCCAACCCACCCCAGAGCTATGGTGAGATTGTACAGAAGTGCGCTGTGGAATTAGCCCTCAGAATTGTAGTCACTCAGCTGTAAAAGCAAAAGTGGGTGCATTTCACAGAAAAGCCTACAGAGCTAGTTGCTCAAGCAAATGAGCCAAACTGCAGATAAGTCAAAAAGGAGAGGCCTTGGGCTGTAATAATTGCCACTCCCTTAAAAGCAAACCCCATCAAACTCATGAGACCCAACTTGTATAAATCCTCCTTTCAATAGCAATACTCTTCCACCCTGTCATTTTAAGGAGAGTCTTGCATCCCCCAGAGAGGAGGTCAAAAGAATATTTTTAATCTTGTAAACCTTGTGCCTCCTGTTGTCAGTTATGCGTGTATGCTAGCAAACAAAATGCAGAATTAAAGCAGAATAGGAAGGTGGTGGTAGTCCATGCTAATTTGGGGAAGGCTGCAGTCAGATGTGATGTCTGCATTTGGGAGAAAAGTGAATCCCAAGAGCGGTGCTGTATTTCCATCCCAGATAGGAACAGTGGCACTTGTTGCCAGGAATATTGAAGATGGACTTGGACTTTTTTGGCTTGCTTTTCAGTATGATCCACCAAGGCAGCCTTGGTGCCAACTTCATCCACATCACTTGAATAAATATTAGGGCGGGGGGTCCAATATTTTGCCAGTATGAAGCCTGTAATGGCTTTTTTGAGAACCTTTGAGATCAACTACATAAAGTGACTGAATCTGTATGTTTTGTACAGCTTGTTCTCTTACCCAGTTATACTGGGGTGCTTTTTTCTGGTATCCAGGTTTGGAAAAGGGACAGCTGGAAAACAGAGTAATTCTTCTGTTAGGGCAAAGATTGGTTGAACAAAGCTAAATGAAAGAATTCTGGATGTGAGAACACCCTTTTTTTTTTTTCAAATCTCAGTCCAAGGAATTATTTTACATGGCCCAGACCTCCCAGCTGAACTGTTTGTCTGTTTTGTTTAAGCAATAGTACTGTACTTCTGCATTTCAGTGAAGTTTGTAATTCAGTTGTTCTTCTGAAAAAGTGGTGGTTTTATTTTTCAATATCTGGAATGTGCTTTGCTTTGTTTTAATGTTGGCTGAGTGTGAAGACAGATGGATCTCTAAATAGCCTTTCTCTTTATAGTCTGAGTTGAGTTAGGGTTCTTCTAGGTTCACAGAAGATCTTCAGGTTTTTTTTTTAAATGACATAGCTATATTGGGGTAGTTTAAAAATTGTTCTAATTTAATACTTCCTAATTAATCTACAAGACTAGCTTAACTATTTAACAGCAGTGCCTTTTTTCTTGTTTAATTAAGAATACTAGAAGCTAGTTTTAAAAGGAAATGGATTTAGATGTTGCACTAGAAGCTGCAGTACAGTTGCAGGTTTCTAGAACCTTTGTTTATGGCGGCACATGAAGGATCAGAGAGGCATAAAGAAGATTATAACCTTGAGGTCAGGAGCTAGGAAGGGGGGAAGGCAGCAAGATAGGCTAAAATAGTTCACTGCAACCGTACTACATAATAAGCTTGGCCACAGTTTAACATTAGTATTTGCAACATCACACCGGCTAGGTATGCATTGCAGAAAACTTTGTCATCTCTTCTTTTTTAAAAGATAGCAATGTTAGCTTGTGAAAAAGAAAATCCACAGTTGGGCAGTTCTGTGGGTTTGAATCTTTTCAGAGGGGAATGGGGAAGATCCTCGGATGTGTTATTTCTCTCCACCTTCCTAGCAAAAAGAGTTGCTAAGATCAAACCTTACAAATGCTTACCTTTCCTGATGTAGCTGCTTCTCCGTGATTCATATATTGTGAAATACTTCTAAAATCCCTCCAGCTGTTACAACAGACTCATCTCAGTCTTTTTCACTTTTAATGGAACTGTCCAGCAAGGCTGTTCCTGAAAAGAAGCCCCAGAAACTGAACCTAAAAAGTTGCTGTGACTTTGGACAAGCTGGCTGTGGTTTTTCTGAGATCAGGTCTTCCTCTGATCACCTTTCTTTGCCTTGTCACATTTCATGCCATCCAGACAAGGCAGTTCAGATTCTCAGAAAAATGTTTACAGTGTCGAGATCTTAAAGTATTCCTGCTTTTTAGCCCCTTCTATAGGGCTACTTGACATGGACTGCAAAAATCTGGATAACCACTAGATGGCAGCAATGAGACATAAAAACTCTTAACTCTTTCTGCCTTCTAGTGGTTGTCCATATTTTTACAGTGCAGATATGGTAGCCATATCTTTCCCAAACAAGTACTGTATACAGCGCTAGTTCTGATTTCTCTTCTTCTAACCCATTCTTTTCCAAGAGCTATTTTCTCAAAATTTAAAGCTGATTGTATTTCCCATTTACAGTAATGTCTGACAAACACCTACAGCACTAAATGCTAACACAATTGATTCCTTTATTCTAATTCTAAAAAAAGAGATCCTGCATCCGAGGAGACTTACCTCACTCTTAGCTGCCAATGTAGAAACTGAGAGTTGCCAAGTATGCCAAAGACATTTATGGGCAAGTCAGATTTGTGGGACTTGGTGCGATGACTTCTCACCCCCTTCTTCAAAAGTGATCTCAGTACAACTAGATGTTAATGGGAGATACAAAGGGTTCAAAGCTACACAAATCTATTATAAGATCAGATAAGAAATTAGATTAATGGTTGTTGAAGTATGAAATGTGCCAGGGCGCCTTTTCTTTCCTTCTGTTAAATAGGAAGATACAGGTTACCCCCTCAACTAAGGCAGTAAAAGCAAACTTTAGGGCTTATTATGGAGCGCTCACAGTCTAGAAGACTGCTTACTTTATTCTTTAGTGCCTCCCTTGTTCACTTAGATCTTTTAGACAGAGTCACATGGCTTGAACAGGCATCATGCAGCTGCCTTCAAACCGCTGAGAGATATTTTACAAGAATGGCCCCCTTTGTACTCTGTATCGTTATTCTTTTTGAGCTTGAGACTCGCAGATTGGTACATTAACCCTTTATCATTGATGAAGCAGAGCAAGTATAGACTTACTCAGGAGCTGAGTTAGAAACAGTTAAGAGCCCCATATTAACAGATTGGAAATCCCCCAAAAGGAAAAATGGGATGTAGTAATTCCAGGTTGCAAATCTTTCAGGGGCTGATGGCCCAGGCCTAGGTCCACCTTCAACCATCTCCATGCAGTTATTTCCATCAACTTTTACTCTCTCCTGCAGTGACGGATGAAGTGCCTTTCTTTAGCCACTTCGCCCATTCTCTTCGGCAGCAGGTGAGGAGGGATCCACCAGGCCCATGGAAGGATGGTGTTTGCCCCTCCTCCTTCGTCCCAGCGGCTCTTTCTAAGCAGACTCTTCCAAAATGAGACTGCCCACAGCACAGTTGCTCTACTTTTCTTCCCCAGCTGTGTGAGGCCATGAAGAAGCATGTAACAATCCTCTACCTTTTCTTCCTAGTAGACTCTCTTTACTTCAGCATTACAGTTTAGGTTTTCTTTCAAGGTACACTAAATAGAGACCTTGCTGACGTCATCCAGCCTCTGATTCATTGGCTGAATGGAGACTCTCTCTCCACCTGCAGCGGTAGTATTGCAAGAATATGTGGTGGGGAGCAGCTTTATTCAGAGGTGACTGGTTAGAACCTCCCCTCTTGGGTGGGGTTTATTTATTTTATTTGTCTTTAGATGGGATCTGGTGCTTTTAACTGGTTAGCATTTTCTGGAAAAAATGCAAACATTCTGAGAAGGTTATGGAGAATAAATCCATGGGTCCTTGCAGATGAGCCTATTCCCTGAGGCGAGTTCTTGACCCCTGGAAAAACACTCTCAGTCTGCTGAGAGATAAAAAGAACATCTTTGGGCTGAGTATCACCACGGTCTAGTGGTAAAGGTGCTGAGTTAGAAGCAGGGAGTTCCAGATTCTAGTTTTCCCTCAGCCATGAAAGCTCCCTGGGGGATTTGGGGCCAGTGTCTCCCTGTCCACCCAACCTACCTCGCAGGATTGTTGCTGTGGGGAAAAATTAGAGGAGGAAGCACTGTGTTTGCTGCTGTGAGCTCCTGAAGGAAAGGCAGAATATACATTTAACAAATAAGAGAATCAGGGTAGTGTAGTGCTGAAGGTGTTGGGCTAAGATCAGTAAGG